GAAATTTAAATTAAGTTGCTTTGTACAATTTTTTTTCCCCTGGAGTTTAAAAGTGACAGTCAGTGCCGAGTCATGATTTTATAAGGTTTTCTCGTCCATCGACACGCAAACCTGCCCTTGTGGTCACATATTTGTGAGTGTAAATACTGGTGTTTTTTTTTTTTGTGTGTGTGTAGTACAGTATGAGGCCGATCGACGCTTTAGAAATTTGGGACTGTGCTGCTGTTCACTCAAAAGACCAACTACTTAAATTAAATTAAAACTACCTGTCTAATTAATTGGATGATAAAATTACGTATGAGGAAACTCGTGAGGGAGACAATGAAGTTCTGCGATCTGCAAAGTCAAAAATATCAAACAAGCCGGATTTAATATCGTTAAATGCAGGCTGCAAAGAACGCATGAGGATATTTTGTACATTCCTGAACGAAATATGTCTTTTGAGTTTGTTTTGTAGACACTCAATATCGAATATCGTCCAAGACGGTCAATAGTTTCGGAAATAAGACGGAAAAACTTCGTGCTAGAAGCCCGTGTATACAAAGGCTAAAGGCAGAACACAGAAGTTAATTTGTTTCAGTGAGCGACGTTCATCAAAGGCAGAATACCGACACCCGCCAGTCTCAAACCCAGGGCACGATGTGGCTGTACAGCAGGTCCAGAGGAGAAGCAACTCTTGCTATTCTCTTCCTGACGACAGGACTTCAAGGACGCCTGGCAACGGACAGAAATTGGGGCGGTTCCGTGGATGGTCACTGGGAAATTCTGAAAGATCTGTGTAACTTATGGTCTCTGGAAAATATTGCTTTTATCTACAGCACGTATCCTGAAGAAGGTGAGTGACTTACTAACTACGTAGAGCCCTTCTAAATTCAACACTAATGTGATGTCTTCTGGGTATTTTTCTGGTCTATCGTCTCAGAAGAGATCTTGGGGCTTCAGAATGATATCTTCATTCGCAATAAAACACAAAACTATCGACAAATACAGGTAAAATATTTTACCTGTGTGCGCACATGATGACTTGCTTTGTTACTAATTTTGGGAACTTCAACAGCTGATTCACTCCAAAACAAACTTTCTCATTAACGGAAGTTTTCTCCGTGTAATTGATTTTTAGTGTTTCCGGAGGTTCGTTATTCTACACGCACTTAATGTCACTTACCCGTGGTCGCTTATTACACCGGCTTTTATTATTACCATCGTGTGTTTGCTTGAAAGCGCCCGTACTGAGAGCAAGAAGGAGATATGTTCGTTTAGAAGTTTCTCAGACGCCTTCTGCATTCATAATAGAGCGTAACCTAACCTAACCTAACCTAACCTAAACTAACATATCCTAACCTAACCTAACCTAACCTAACCTAAACTAACATATCCTAACCTAACCTAACCTAACCTATCCTAACCCAACCCAACCTAACCTCACCTAACCTAACCTAACCTAACTTACACGATGGCATTTGTCAGATGCATTCTTTGCGTATCTCGTTCTAATGTGGAGGGGGGATGACCCACGAGGTTTATTTCTGCTATATCAGGTGGTTATGGCACTGGACCACGTGAGATGCGGGCTGCATGTACAACAAAATATGAGGGGCAAAAGCGAGACACAGCAGAATGCCATCCTTGAGAACCCCCAAATACCTTTATCAAGTCGAAAAATGAACACGTATTTAAGCTGGCCTTAAAGTACTTTTTATACCAACTCAATGCGGAATAATTTCTTTGGTGTCCAGTTTCTTCATTCCTTCCTTCCATTCTCGTGTGTCACCTTCCAAATCCTTTAAACTTAGAGTAACAATGAAGAAATATCAGCCGTGCTACGTATTGCGTTATTTAAACATTAAAAGGTGCCTAATGGTAGCATCACGTGTAAAATAGGATATTATGCCATCTACAGTCTTCCATCAAAGTAAAAAAACATCTCACAGGATTTTCTACAACGCAGACAAACGTGACAAGTGTTATAATCACTCACCGTTGAGGTGCATTCTAAGGTTCTGAAGCATCATAACTTGAAGATTAAGTTGATAGAACTCAGGTATTTAACCCCTAACATCGGCAAGCCTCTTTGTCCCGAAACGTCGTTTTCTAGGATGACGAAGGATACTTTCAAACGAAGTTTTAATCTAACCGAATTTGAGTTTACTGAAATAAGATGGATGTAAAAGTGACATGCCACCGTACAAATTGATCGCAAAGTTTTGCAAGAGATTGACCAGATCAAATGTTTCGCTCGGTCGCCATTTCTGTTTGCTATTTTACGTCAATATTTTCTTAACGTCT